CGCCTTATCCACCTGGCCATGCCGGGCCTAAAGTTAATAGACTGGAATACAAATATTTACATTGATAAAAACATTTTTCTCTTTAACGCTGAGCGGTTAAGCGGACTTACAACGCTAGAATCCGGGTTTCGATACCCGTGGTGGGCAGAGCATAGATAGCCCATTGTGTGTAGCTTTGTACTTAATTACAAACAAACAAAAATGTTTCTCGTATAAAATTTCTGATAAAAAAATGAGTCGAGCGCCTTATCCACCTGGCCATGCCGGGCCTAGGAAGTTTATTATTAAAGCTTTCAAATTTAACAGCATGCTCACAAGTGTAGGGTACAATCACAGTTATCATTTGTATAAAACAATAAAACAGTAGCTGAGCTTTAAAATTAATTCTGTTGTAGGTAATGTATATTTTGTAACTCTTTGTAGGACAAAATATATATTAACTAAATTTAAATAAAAATACAAGTAAGCAACGTTCAGGATAACTTATAATACCAAAACTCCTGCTTTTATTCTCTTAAATTAGAATATCCAAAATCGATAGTCTAAGTTTCGATTCTTGCTCAATCGTAAATTTAATGTTTTCTGTTTAAACACTGATGTCGTAGAGAAGACCGAGTGTGCGATATAAATGTGAAACAGTATATTCAACATACTTTTTATAATGAAATGGTATGAAAGTATTTGGGCAAAAATTATGCCATTGTTATTCGTAAAAATAAATAATGAAGATTAGCCATTAGATTCCATTCTAACTTCAATTAGCCTATAGTAATTAACATGAAAAGGTTTTGAGAGAGTGTGAATACAAACAGATCACACATTACATGTGGTATATCTAACACTATAAGAAAAATATGTAATAAAACACTTTTTCCAATATAAGAATATATAACCACCAATCTGAGGGTCGCGGGTTCGAATCCGCATCCCACCAAACATGCTCGCCCTTTCAGCCGTGGGGGCGTTATAATGTGACGGTCAATCCCACTATTCGTTGGTAAAAGAGTAGCCTAAGAGTTGGCGGTGGGTGGTGATGACTAGCTGCCTTCCCTCTAGTCTTACACTGATAAATTAGGTACGGCTAGCGCAGATAGCCCTCGTGTAGCTTTGCGCGAAATTCCAAAACAAACCAATCAATATCTGATGATAAGTTATTTTTATCAGAAAGAATGACATAGACTTTGTAAGTTTTTCTTTGTATTTGTTAAGAACTACGGTTTGTTTGTTTGTTAATCGCAAAGCTATAAAATGGGCTATCCGCACTGTGCCCACCATAGAGATCGACCTGGGAATTTAATAGTTATTCTTTAAAATGTAACCACGGCATGAAAGTGAGGAGCGTGATTATGCATTAACGAGACGTGGATCGTGGACCTTCGGATACACAATTCGGCACACTAACCCACTCGGTCACGCCCGACCTCCGCCAGAATGTTTAACTGCCACAAACGAAACCTCTAGTTGGGATTAAGAACACTAATCCAAATCAATCGAATCATCATTAAATTATCTTCAAAGAGATTTATTTCCTTACAGCATGAGTACTTCGCTCAACCAAAAAACAACGTTTGATGAGTGGAGGGGGGTTAAATTATATCTAGATTATTGAAGGAATATATGGTTTATTTTTTAGCAAGTCAGAAGCAAAAATATATTCTATTACGAATGATTAATCATACCACCAACAAGATAATGAGAAAGATTTAAAAAAAAATTGAACAGTGAATATTGGGTGGCCTGTTGTTATCTGAAAAATATAGTACCATATTTCTAAACATATTGTTGAAAGAAAACTAAACATAAAAGAGGGAATAAAATTACAGATATTAGCAATGTGTTATAAAGAAGTTAAAACTTATAATTCAAGAAACATGTGCTGAGATCCTTTTAATGTCTGAGTAATCGTATGATTATATACCATCGTATTTTTAGTCAGTTAATTTTTTTACATTTTTAATCCTTTTAATATTCTTGCGGACTTTTACTGCTAGAAACCGGGTTTCGATACCCGTGGTGGGTAGAGCACAGATAGTCCTTTGTGTAGCTTTCTGTTTAACAACATCTAATATTCTTATTTAATATTCTATAAAAATAACTTTAAAATGTTATTTATAAATCACCTCAATTTTAGTATTTTCGTATGGTTATATGCGTCTTCAAATACAAACTTCTGTGTTCTGATTTAGAAAGGAGGGGTAATAAAATTATAGCTATGAAGTAAGTTGCAACAAATATTGAAGAAGGTTATCAAAACGTAATGCGATTGCGAATGTAAGTCACATATTTTTATGCAAGTTTTTATTGAGCTGTTTATAGTAAATCCTTCAAACAATTTAATATTCAGACATTTATCTATAATCAACGAAAAGTACTACTATTACTGAAAGCTGCAGTATTACTTTAGTTTTTACCTTTGAGTCGTTTGTTCACTAGGATTTTGCATCATTTTGACGTATTTGGTTAGTAATAAGTAAGGGTATGTAAAAATGATGCAAAAAGTTGCTATGGATTTATTTTAGGGTTTCATAGATAAGAATATAATTACATCTTTTGTGTAGAAAAGTTAATAACTTGAATTTAAGACAGAAGTTCTTAAAAATCAGAACACTATTAGACCAACAAAATTCGTTTCTCGTTCAGTCTTTCTGACCAAAGAGCATAAAACTCTAAATCCTGTACAGGGAAATCTAAAGCTAATGAAGTATAAAACGTAAATACGCGTCAGAGTCACAGTCAATAAAAGGTGGGCCAGTAATTTTTGCAATGATCTCGTTCACAAATGCTTTTAGCAGAAATTTAATTATTATATTTACAATTTTGTCTTATCTTCTTTGTAATAGTACTCGAAATGGCGGGAAATATTAAACTCATGATATTTTGTTTCCAAACAAGATTTCACGGTTCACACTGAAAATATTAAGTAGTAAACCTTGATGACAAGTGACTACAAAATAGACATCAATGAATTAATTGCATACTCGTCGTTAATAATTTCATATCAGTATAATTTTTGCTCAATTATGAGACAGTCATCGTGGTAACAGTTTTCTTTAGTTTTGCTACTCAATACTGTTTTGTTTGAAATGATGAGAAAAGTTATTTGAGTCTTTGTGAACATGTATATTATAGTGTCATATTGAACATGGTGAATAGCTTTTCACAAATATGTAACTTGTTTATGAATCTTTGTGTTGCTTTTTAAAGTAGTGAAGTTTACTGGAAAATAAGAAGCATGAAATTCTATTGAGGTCCTCCGGTGGCTTAGCCTAAGGGCTTATAACTCTTAGAACTGAAGAACATTATCAGATTAAGTATTGATCGACCGAGGGAATCCTATACAAGGCAAATAATTTAACGATGGTGTATGAACGAAATTTTACTATCAAATGATTTTGTTTATTTGTTTCGGATATTTACGCAAAGCCACACAAAGACTATCTGTGCTAGTTGTCCCTTAATTTTGAACGGATAGAATGCAGGAAAGGTAGCTAGTCAACAGCACCCACCGCCAAGTCTTAGATTGCTCTAATTGAATTTTCATAAAAGAATAGCCCAAGAGTTAGCGATAGGTGATGTTGACTAGCTAGCTGCCTTCCCTCTAGTCTATCTCACCTAAATTAGGGATGGCTAGCTCAGATAGTTTAATGTAAAAAAAATAATTTTATTGAATATTTGTTAATATGATATCTGTAAGATTGTATGAAGAATAGAAAGAGAGAGAAGAGAAAAAAAATCTTTTAAATTTCACATTGACTATTCAAATTCTGGATGCCTTTTTTAAAATAATGGCTGCTCCCCCATTTTTACAAATATAACGATCACCCAAGTGGTATAAAACTCTCCAACGAAAAGTTTCCTTTTATGTTTAATAATGAAATAGTTTAAAGGATTGCCGCAGGTCTATGAAAGCCATCTAGCGCTTAAGATGAGAATGAATTACTGTTTGCTTGAGAATCTCTGGTCACATTAGATAGAAGATTTTATTATTGAACTTTAAACACACTCTAGATATGATACAAAATTATAAGTTATTTAATATATTAATAAATTATTCACGATACTGTTCAGAAGGAAATATTTTTATCTCGGTCTGTTGTACTGCCTTATTTAGATTTTAAAGAGCCGTTTTTCTATGTGTGCAAAATTGTTCTGTAACACAATTCTGAGAAAACAATTGTGAAGTTAGTTTTTGTAGGAGTTAAGCAGCAAACTAAATCTAATGGATGAATTAAGCTTAACCATATTCACGCTAGGAAAATTCAGTCTACATATAAATTTATACATTTTGAAGATATTCTATTGTTCCAGCGTGTTTTCCCTCTCAGTTATCCTATTCTCCACCCTACTGCTTTGCACGCGCTCCCACGCCTCCCAGCGTCCTGTAGTGTTTCAGACTCCCAGATTCTTTGTAGTAGGGGAGTTGGAAAGACTATGATTTAAGAGCTGTCAAAATACTGGCGTCGCACCCTTGTTTCAGAAAAGTGACGCTTTAGAGAAACATGCTGGGGTTTTGGATGGTTTATAGTATCTTTATGCAGATGCTAGTTCAAGGCAGACACCTGTAAAATAAAAGACTGTGGCAAATCTAGCGAGTGGGCATTGTTCAAGATAGAATAACATCCTGGTACAAGCCAACAGTTCCTTATTCCTGCAGTTTTATCACCAAAGACACGTCATAAAATGATACTCTGTTATATACAGAATAGTCATAAGATGCTTAAACTGCACGGAATAAATATTATTTCGGTAGATACTGAATGCTTAACCAGTGGGGTGTCAGGCTCCAACGTTCCGCACACATTGTTGTGTATTCTATATACTCTCTAAGAAGCTCTTGTGTTGTTGATTTTAGGGCTACAATAACTCATTGAAAGTCACTGTGACAGACGCAATGGCAGGTGTTACTTTATTTTTAGTGGTTAGTCTGTTTTTTGTCTGAAATAATTTGTGTCTGCTGTAAAGGATATATCTTCACTGACTTTTTCCATTCTGTGTTTTAGGGGAAGATGGAGATGGCGGGAAAATGGAGGTAGCTGGAGATGATAGTTCCTCCTCCGGATGTGATGTAGCTGAAGGGCACGACACTGACGAGGATCTCATCAAACAAACAGTCATAGGGAGCCAGTCCACGCACACCACTGACGTCACTCTTCCTCCCATACAGGCAGGCCGGAACACTCCTAATGAGCTTAGTCATAGCGAAACCAATATTGGTGCACACTCGTCCACAATAAGAAATCTAGATTGCACTCCGCCATTGACTAGTGACGGAATCTCTTTGGAGACTGAGCCAATGGCAGAAGACGGACCGATTGACTTTAGTCTCCGAAATCATAACCAATATCATACTTTACCTTCAAATTTATCTCCTGGCCTCCCAATCAATGGAGTTTCCTCTGGGTCACAGAATGAACCCCTTGATCTCTCCGTCCCTAATAGGAGAAAGAGCACAGAAAACTGTGTAAGAGAAATTAAATTGGCTCGTGTAGAAACTCTCTCCCCAGTATCCCCTTCAGCGTGGAGTTACTCGCCGAGGAGAACATCTTCAGAAGTTATAACTTGGAATGGAAAGATGTCATCTTTAGAAAGTTCAAAAAATTTAGGAATTAGTTCTGCAACATCTTACAGTCAACTATCCAATTCTTTGCAACAAAAAACAACTGCTCAAAACCAGTTACTTAGTTCGAGCCTCGTTACTTCCAATATGGTTACTGCTCTTGACAAAATGAATACGTTGTCTCACACAGTAACCAAAACGCAAGGGTACAGAACAGGAAGTAGGCAGAATCCCTGGCAGAACCAGTGGATTAATAAAAGTGGGGAACAAGCAAAAGACGTCTTCACTTGTGTTTGGTGTAAGGAATCTTTCAAAAGTCTGGCTGATATGACAATCCATATGCAGCAGAGTCCTAAGTGTGGTATGGCAGGGATGCAATCATCTGTTCCATCATCGTCCACGAACACCAACGTCCTTTCAGAGTCTTCACCTTCAGTTTCCAAATGCTCAACATCTAACAGTGGCAGTAACATGTTAATGAAAGAAAGTGTACCACTTCCACGAAAACTGGTAAGAGGACAAGATGTTTGGTTAGGTAAAGGAGCGGAACAAACTCGTCAGATTTTGAAGTGTATGTGGTGTGGACAGTCTTTCAAGACATTGGCAGATATGACCAATCATATGCGCGTTACTCAGCACTATAATAATATCATTAGTCAAGAACAAATCATATCCTGGAAAGTACCAGTTGATAAGATGACTTCACAGTCACAGATAAATGCCGTCTTGACTTGTAAAGTTTGCAACCAGGTGTTTGGTAGTCTTAAAGAACTCAGTTATCATATGATGAAGAATGCTCATTACAAGGAACATATCTTACGTTCCATCACTGAAAGTGGTGGAAGACGCAGGCAAACTAGAGAGAGAAGGAAAAAATCCTTACCTGTTAGAAAACTTCTTGAGTTAGAAAGAATGGAAATGAGTAAATTAAGTGTATCAAAAGAACGAACTGAGCGATCCATGTCCAAAAGTGAAAACGTTGGTGGCAAGATTACGTGTGAAGAATGTGCTGAGAAAGTAGAAGCCAAAGATTTTGTAACACATATAAAAAATTGTACTCAGAACCCCAAATCTCAATATATTCTGAAAAATACTCTTATTGCAGAGTCGTTTGAGAATGGTATGCAAAAAGAATCCAAATCGGAATGTGTTGTAAAAACTGAGCCAGATGAAGGTACACCTAAAGCTAGAAAGTCAAAAGTAACTGAATCGCCAACATCTGAAAAGTCTAGACAAGAATTTTCTAAAGAACGAGCTCTTGAAGTTCCCTCAACTGACGGAATGGATAAAGGAAATGAGGCTACATCCGTTTTAAGTGCAATTGAGAAACTGATAGAAAAAAGTTTCGAAAATAGAAGTAAAAGTGGCAAAAATGGTTCTACAGGAATTTTGCAAAGATTGGGCATTGATGAGGAAGTCTATCCTCCATGGCATCCTCCCGGAAAAAATGAACACAGCTCGACAACTAAGGCTCGAGCGTCAACCATGGGAAGTTCTTCAACTGGTTATACAGTCAAGAATATGATTAACATAAAAGATGGTTGTCTCAGATCGCAGTGTATTCCTGGTTTTAACGTTATAAATAATAACTTGCGAAAAAATAGGCTTTCGGTAAACAAAGAAAAGGGATTTTTTGATAAACAATCTGAGCTTCCCCCTTCCGCTAACAGAGAACACACATCTCCCCAGTCTTTTACAACCGAAACTAAAATTGATTCAAATGTAGCAAACGTCCCCAAATTAGGATCAACGCCTTTTCATGAATCATTAGAAGAAGATGTTCCAGACGATTTAAGTCGTTGTTGCTCTACGAGAGGACAAACTGAAAGTCCTCTGGGTTCTGTGAGATCAAAAAGTCCTATTACCGATCATGCTGAAGATTCTTTTGAGGCTTACTCTGAAGTAGAGGAATCAAATGGTGAATATAGTGGTCATGAAATGGTTGAAGAATTGTGTGATGAAGGCCGTTTTCGGTGCCAAATTGGCACTGCCACCTGCTCAAGAGAAGCCGAGTCACCAGATGATTCACTTGAAGACAAGGGCAAATTAAGTCCTTCTTCTTTAAGCAATTCATCAAAACTGTCTTTGACAGATCTTAATCATGAAACAGAAAAAAGTCACACACAGAATTCCGAAGATGCTGAAAAGCCAACTGCAGGTCACCCCCTTCGAGAACTTCAAAAATTGTTGGATAAAACAGACGTTAAGGTTTCACGTTCCAGTGTCCAGACGCCACCAGGATCCATTTTGGCTTTTAGTTGGGCATGCAGTGACGCCACAACATCAGACTCCTTAATGAAGTGTGCCTTTTGTGACACTCATTTCATTTCTAAAGGTGCTTACAGACACCATTTAAGTAAAATGCACTTTGTGAAAGAGTCAAATATCCTCGACAATTCCACTTTGAAAGCTTCTTCGCCCTCTGGTGGAAAATTAGCAAATGAACCTAATTCAGTGACGAAAGAATCGCCACCACTTACAGGAATAGCTGCGGAAGAAAGTCCTCATTCGAAGTTCTTAAAATACACTGAACTAGCTAAACAGTTATCTAGTAAATATGTGTGACGTGAAGGCTTGTCATTCCTCCTGTAAATAGAACCATGTTCAAAAATATTTAAATTATATAAATACGTAATGTAAACGTTTGGGGGTTTTCCAGTTCCTTGAAACTGCTAATATGGTAGTATTTCGTTAAATCGTCTTTTGGACATATATTTATGATGATATGCTTTTCAAACCTCTCTTATTCTTTGTTCTCTTTATTCTTTTATAAAATATGTACAAAAACTAACTCAATTTAAGCTTCACTAAAGTTTCTTGGGAAGTACACTCAAACTTTTCTAATTTTTTTTTGTAAATTTATGGAGCTATGTTGCCGATATTTTTCTGATAAAAGCATTTTCAAGGGGTATTTTACGTATTTTGATTTTAGAAAAAGAGATATTGTTTTATAAGTCGGTGAATTAGTTGTTAAGGCAAAAACATTTAGAAACCTAAATTGAGCGATGGTGTTAATAATAACAAGTTGATTGTTGGTAGTTTTCTGCAATACGTTGTTGAAGCGAAACTTAACAAATGTTTGAGGAATTTTCCAAAATAAATTTTTACTTGAACTCAGGTGTACTGAATATAGTGTTAAAAGTAATTCAGTATTGTATTCAGTGTGTATGAGAATTTAAACAATTGTTTGAAGCCTTAAAGAAGGTTCCATTTTTAGTTGACATGTTACGCATATTCAGAAGTCAATTATATCGGCTTCTCAGGAAATTCAAACAGGCTCAATTACTGTGAATAGATGTAATTTCTTCCCATCAAGCCAAATACTGTGCCTTTCTTTACCCTTATGGTTAATCAGTGGAAATTAGCATAACTTCCATAATAATAATAATAATAAAAATATAACAAATAAAATATAAATTTATTTCTTTTTCACCTTCTTTATAAATTGTGAAGAACAAAGGCTGAAAGTATGCATGTTAATTTCTGAATAAACGAATCTGGTATTCAATATTAAAATATTTATGTTAAATAACAGTTGTTACTAGTCAACAGAGGTTTTATTCGTAAACTTTATCATGTTTCATTTATTTTGGATTGCTCTTAAACACATTTGCAACTTATGTTGTTATTGTTTTGAAAGTCCAAACAGTTCTTGTCAAATTTTACGTAGTTTGTTGAGAGTTGTCAAAATTGTCAGCCACTTAGTAACAAGTACAATATCGCACGTACTGTAAAATAGAATAAGTACTTACTCCTACTGAATCATGTCAGAAAACCGTGTGACGTCAGTGATGCATATTGTTTCATCATATATTAGTTTCTGTATTGTAAGAGATAAAAGCTTTAGAACCAGTCCATCAAAATATATACCAGTAGGTCGAATGTTAAAGCTACCGTTGTGTTTTACCCACTTGCTGAAGGAAAAAGAATTTCGTCTATTGATTACTGCTTTTCTATACAGATACAAGCATTCTTGCCTGTATGATAATAAACAATAAATATAAGGATAGGTAAAGAAAATAAGGAAGATTTTGTTTTCATAATATTGAATAGCAAATGTATGTTCAGGTGCCGCGTCGGAATTTAAAAATTTTCGAATTTTCCAGATTGTTCGACGTTAGAATCAGAAATTAACATAGGTTTTCAATTTTATATATTTTGTTTGTTTGTTGTTTTTTAATATTATGTAAGTTCTGATAAATTCGCATTTTGTGTCTAGGGTTCCTTCATTCCTAATAACCATATCTAGTTAATTATATATTCTTAATTTAAAAAAGAAAATGAAGTTTAGAATTCTGATGTTTTTATAGTTTTTATTTCTTCTACCCAGTATAAATGTACGTTAACTTTTTTTTTTAAGTTATGCTTTTCATGTAGTGTTATTTCTAGTATTGTTATATTTAATTTCCGGTTGGTAAGGGAGTGTGTGAGGGAAAAAGCAATCTTGTCCGAAAGTTTTCGTTGTCAAGGAAATGGGAATTTCTTAGTTTAGTAAGTAGACGATTTCGGTTAGTTCATTAACTTATCCGATCTTTCAACAAGATAGTATTTTCTTTTGCATTGAAAGTTTGATACCAGTTGTTCGACTCCTCACATAAGAAGCGTTTTGTTTCTGCAAAAACTGTATAGTTTTATCATTAAAGCTGATGAAAAAGCACGATACGGATATTTAAAAAGTATTAAGAACGCATAACGACTTTTATAGCTTTGGATGAAATGAAACGTCTTTTACAGTTTTGACGGTATAGCTTTGGTTTCCTTTAATAAATCTTGATTTTTCTGGCTCGATTTTGTGTTTACTATGAAACATTTAGACATTGCTTTTCCTTTCATTCCTCTTGATTGCAATGTTCTTGGTAGTTTAAAGATCTTGTACTGAAAATACTGTTAAGTTTGCACCATTCTTAAAAATTTGCATTATAGCACAGTAGTAGGGAAAAGCGTTGATATGAATGGATTAGTAAATTACAGAATTGAGCATAAACAAGCGTGAAAATGGTATAAATTTAAACTATATTCACCTGAAGAGTTATGTAGTAAGCCTTCCGTCTTTGTTGATCTTGTTGAATGCCCTACAGAATTAATTCAAAGAATCTTTTCAAATTCTCCATTCATCACTTGTTTTATTTTATTTAATTCTGAAATATGTTTGATGTAATATTAAAATGAATATGAGCAAAGGTTTCTATCGAGCTATATATGTAATTTAAGCACTGTGTGTGTATATATATATATATATATGTAATTTGTTCGTGAGTATAAGATTAAAACCAAGAACAAAAATTCTGATTTATGACCGAAATAGTTTCTTTGCGCCGCTTAGGCTACTGAGTTGATAAATATTTGAGGAAAATATCATTAAGTTTAAATTTTTCTGTAAATGCTTGTTTGTTTGTTGTAAGGCACAAAGCAGCACAAATGGGCTATCTGTGCTGTGCCCACCAAGAGTATGGAAATCGGTTTTTTAGCGATGTGAGCCCGCGGGCTTGCAGCTGAGCCACTGGGGGGGGGGGGGGGGGCTTCTGTAAACGCAGACATGTCTAGATTTAATTGAGTTATTTTCAAAGTGATGTAATCCTGAATTTATAAGCCTTGAATATAAGAAATGGAAAATTTCACACCGCACTTTACCTTAACTTTAATATCTAGCACTTTCCTCGAACTCTCCGTACTATTTACTAAACCATTGGCATTTTCCGTACTCTTTTCAAGGTCGTTAGGGAAATTTGTCTTTTAACATAGTTTAAGTCCACAATTTTTTATTATAGACTTAACTTACTGTCATATATGTGGAGTCCACTTTCCTTAAATTCTTAGTTATATCAAAAATAAAAAAGTGATTTTTGTTATTGAACATATTCTTATCATTCTATCATTACATGAGCAATACCAAGCATGATAAAGTTTTCAATTTAACTTTTAAGCATAATATAACAAAAATTTAGGTATTGAAAATTCGTCTACTTAAAAGAGGTAATTTGATTACCCTCATGAACGTCATAATAACTTGTACTGCCGGTTTTTTATCACAATAACATACTCGTTATGTGAACATTATCTTGTTTAATCCAAATTATTGTAATAGCGCCAGTCCGTTAAGTCGCTTAATCCTTCTTAAATCCGGATAATATTCACGATCTGCAGATCCAGCCCATAGATTAAAAATTACCTTATTACAAATTCACTTTTTTTTTTCTTTTGGACTCAAGACTATTTCTAGATCAAATAAAAAATAGGTCTAAATTTTTAGGGTTTCGAAATGTCCAACTTGATCATTTGTTTGTTGTTTTAAACTAAAGCCATGTTAGGTTATTCTGCTGTGTTCACCGCGAGGAATCAAACCCCGAATTTTAGCGTTGTAAGTCTGTAGACTTACCGCTGTCTCACCGAGGGACCCAAGTTCATAAAGTCAAAACTTTCGAACTTCACTCGATTTGATTTTCAAAATTTGCATTGTAAAAATTTTGTTATCAATTGTTTACTTGCTTTGTTCGGATGTTCCCTCTATCGTGATTTAAGAAACTAAATATCAATACATGACTAACTGAAGAATTATTTTTATTTGAATTAATAATTTTTCAAGAAAACAGAACTTTAAAATTCTTATTGATGCCACTCGTTAGAAACAACAATAAGTTTAGTTTCGAAACGTAAAAGAAAATATAAAAAAAATTGTTTGTTTAACATTTTGGCGCAAAGCCGTCCCTAATCTTTAACTGGTAGACTAAAGGGAAGGCAGCTAGTCAAGAGCACCCACCGCCAACTTTTGGGCCACTCTTGTTTGACCAAATAATGGGATCTGACTGTCTCTCTTGTAACGCACCCACGGCCTCAAATATTATGTTTTAGGTGATATACATCACTTATATTGGAATTTGTAATATTTGTTTTTTGAGAGTTTCTTATTTCAATAAAACACTCAGATGTATAGAGTACTGTAGTTTTTTTGTAATAAAAATAATCTCTTTAAGATTACATCTTTCAAAACAGTTATTATAACTTTTTTTTTCTTTTGTGATATAACACATTCACCTGCTTAACGGAAATTCAGATATTGAATAATATTTCATTTTCATTGTTAAAAAAATAAGACAAATGATTGCTGACTTGAGCGTTTGGTGATATCCTTGTGTGTGAGATGGCTTGATTTTTTTTATACGAGTATCATGGAGTATATGATTTTCTGGTGACGTTCTATTGATTCGGGGGTGTTGGATGTTCTCATAATATCAACGTATCTTTAGTACATAATGTACAAGTAGTATCAGTTTGTACTGTACCACATAATATATCGGTAACACTAGTGTTTCTTTAAGTACATCATATAAAGTTACTCCCTTTGTGTTTTGGAGTGTATGACGTACTAGAAATATCAATTTATGAGTACGTGATATATCGGTCTTATCTAAATTTCCTAGAATAAATCACTCAGAAATATTACGATCATATCCATAAAGCAGTGGCAGTAACAGTATACGCTTGAGTAGTTACTATAACAACAGTACCTATGTACCCTGGACTACATGTTACCCAGAGATTACGAATATACCCTGCATGTATATGTTGTACCTGTAACACCAGTTTAATGCATGATTTACAAGCAGTGTAAAAATGGCCCTGTAAAGAACAATGCATTCTGAAGCATATGATATACCAGTAGTAGTAATATTTTCTGGAATGTTAATGTACTGGTATATTTTATGTGTTCTGGAGTATATAACATTTTGCTAGTACCAAGGTATTCTGAAGTAAGTAATGCACAAGCAGTATCAACGTGTATATAAACTTCAAAGCACATTAATACCACCAGTATATTATACATATTGGTAGTTCCTTTGTGTCCTAAATTAAACAATGTAATGATATTACCAACTTGCTCTGGATTTACAAAATATATCAGTAGTCCTAATGATTTCTGGAGTATATTAAAGTAGGTAATTGATTCACCGGTAGTATTAATATGTATATGAATACGTGGTATGTTGGTATTATTATTTTGTCGTTTAATACCTGTATATCAGTACTCTGAAGTCAGCCTCAGCATATGGAAAACCTCCAAAGTGCTTCCATCTTAATATTTTGTTTATCATTGTATATAGTCATGGTTTTCAAAATGTATATCTTGATACAGTTGTTATTTATTGTTCACTGGCTTTGTCCGGATGTAATTCTTTTCGTATATACATATATATATATATATATCAATTCCGTAAATAAAAGAAATTTCTTTGCTTCTGGTGATATGCCGGTCGAGTGCTGTGAAATGCTCCTGGTCATCACTTTTTTTCTGATGAAATAAAAATATGGAACATTTTAATGTAAATCAGCAGACTCCATGGAGACAAAATGTACACCTTATAGTATATAAACTTATTTTAAACGCAGCCAACCGTGGGCACAATTTCAAAACAGCTGATTGAAACATTATTCTAAATTAATCCTTCTCAATAACACAATAACTTTTTATGAATATTATTAACTTCAAGCATGTGATGTCAAATCTACTCTGAGTGGACCAAAAGTCAATTAAAATCTCTAATTTTCATCATAAAGAAACATATAGTTACATCAAACACGTACCAAAGTGAGCATTTATGGGAAACCTTTTTTATAATAAAAAATAGACTTTCCTGCTTCATTTTTTATTCATCTCAAAATTCTAAAATTGGTCATATAACCAAGAAATCTGTCTCTTTCGGCTGTAACGATATAACCACTATGTTTTTCAAAGATTCAACTTAAAAACCTCAAGCATTTTTTTCCTGTTTAACAGAAAAGCGTGATAACAATTTGAAACGAACTGAAAATCCTGTAATTAACTCATTTCAAAATCTAACAAATTGTAATAAAACATAGAAATTAATAAAACCGGAAATAAATGTCACTTTGAGCTAGAGATAAATAATAGGTATGTTTTCGCATTTTTATCTATCATGTTTAAACATAAATTACAGAAGTGAATCTGGGTTGGTCACTGCTACAACGATATATGTTATTTGTACGAAGACTAATTTCTGTCCTTATATTTTTTTTTATTATTTCTGACAAAGCTACTAAGGCTATCTGTCATCAACCTTTATTTTGAGCTACTGGCATAGGGAAGACAGACAGTCAACAGTACCCTCTCATTCACCATCGATGTTAATGGACTGACTGTTACTTTCATAACACACTCACAGCTAAAAGTACGTGGAATATTTTTTGGTATCGCACGAATTCGTACTCGGTTCACCAGCTCCGAACCCCCA